TAATGTTAGATTATTAATGATTCGCGGATTAACTTCTATGCTTTTAGTTAGAAATCAAGAAACTTTAGATGATTTTACAAGTGCATTAGAAATAAAGCAAACCGACTTATGAATTCGTTAAGAAACAGAAAGGTATTGTAGAGGTTGATGGAATTGATTATTATTCTCTTAGTTGCTAGGAACGATCTTTAATATATTTAAATAAAGCTTTGGAAGTTTCTCCCGATAATAGAACAACTTTGGCTCGTCGTGCAGATGTATATAGCATATTGGAACGTTATGAAGAGGTACTTGAAGAACTCAATGATTTATTAGAAATTAATTCATATGATGTATTTTGTTTTACATATTCGTGGTGAACGTCCATATTGTCAAAAAATTACTTATTTTTCAAAAATAAGCACAAGTAACCATCTTTAGTGCTCTAAAAAAAGTTTTTTTACGTTGAGCAAATTTTACTATATAAACTACTTCCCTCTAATTCAAAAAGCCGACTCTAACTTTAACATAAAGAATTTTTGCTACGTCACGAACCTGGTACACATTCAAATAATGCAAAATTCTTAAGACTCATTGCTATAACGATAAAGACTCACATTCATATTTAAATTAGAATTAACAAGATGGTGAATCGTTTGGAAAAATTTTTTTTATTGGATAAATTTGAAAAAATAATTGACTTTGACAAAACGAACGTTTGCTTTGAATGTTTCTGATCATATCTTTATTTGTCCTTCACGTCGCAAGCATTTTAAATCTACAAGTTGATCGACAATACACGTGATTAAATTAAGCAATCTAATTGGTCAATCTTGAACAAAGAACTTAAGTTAAAAGATATACAAAATTGATCTCCATTGTGTACACTTTACTGTAGTATAGTGGATAGGGCGTTTACGACCATTGTATGGTCGTGGGTTCAATTCCACCGGTAAGTTTGTCATGTCGGTGCACACGATGACATTACTGACTGCAGGTTAAACGTTTAACTTATTGCTATT